AAAAAATAGAATATACCAAGGCCTGGGATCAATCCCCAGTACTAAAAAAGAAAAAGAAAAAAAAAGGAAATAGTAATAATATGCTAGTCTCTGGATTCATGAATTTTTAGTAATTCATATATTTTTCTTCCATTAATTTACAGGAAATTTTAGATCATGTGTTTAAACAAAATTAGTGAAGTTTGACATTTATAAATTAATACTTTAAAAAAAATCCTTTTTTATTATCAAATTCTTGTGGAGAAATTTAAATGCAAGGGGTAAACCCTCTTGTAAATTAAAGTCCAAAGAAAATAAATTTAATTTGTTAAATATTTTTATTTGTTCTTATTAATTATACATAATAGTAAAATGTATTTTTAAAATGTTCTTTTTAATAACTTTTTTAGTTGTAGTTGGACACAATACCTTTATTTTATTTATTTATTTTTATGTGGTTCTGAGGATTGAACCCAGTACCTCACATGTGTGAGGTGAGCACTCTACCACTGAGCTACAACCCCAGCCCCAGTAAAATGTATTTAACATATAATACATATATGGAGAATAACTTCTCATTCTTCTGGTTTTACATGATATACAATTTCATTGGTTGTGTAATTATATCATATACGATAATAATATCAGATTCATTCCACTATATTTTCTATAATTTTCAATTCCCATTCCCCCTCCCTTCCCTTCATTCCCTTTGTCTAATCCTAATTCCTCCATTCTTCCCCCTACCCCCACCCCCACCCCTGCATTATGGATCAGCATCCACATATCAGAGAAAACATTTGACCTTTGGTTTTTGGAGATTGGCTTATTTCTCTTAGCATAGTATTTTCCAACTTCATCCATTTACCTGCAAATACCATAATTTCATTTCTTAATTTAAGACTGAATAATAATCCATTTGTGTATATRGATCACATTTTATTTATCCATTCATCTGTTGAAGGGCATCTAGGTTGGTTCCACAGTTTAGCTATTATGAATTGAGCTACTGTAAACATGGATGTGACTGCGTCACTGTAGCATCCTGATTTGTCTAATTTTTCTTGCTAAGGATTGCTTTGGCTATTCTGGGTCTCTTATTTTTCCAAATGAATTTCATGATTTATTTTTCTATTTCTATGAAGAATGTCATTGGGGTTTTAATAGGAATTGCATTAAATCTGATTAGTAGCACTTTTGATAATATGGCCATTTTGACAATGTTAATTCTGCCTATCCAAGAACATGGGAGGTCTTGCCATCTTCTAAGGTCTTCTTCAATTTCTTTCTTTGGTGTTCTGTAGTTTTCATTGTAGAGGTCTTTCACCTCTTTTGTTAGATTGATTCCCAATTTGTTTTTAAATTTTTCATTCTAATTTGTTACATGTGACAGCAGATGCATCACAATTCATATTACATATATAGAGCACAATTTTTCATCTCTCTGGTTGTATACATAGTATAGTCACACCATTCGTGTCTTCATAAATGTACTTTGGGTAATGATGTCCATCTCATTCCACCATCATTTCTAACCCCATGCTTCCTCCCTTCCCCTCCCACCCTTTTACTTTATCTGTAGTTCATCTATTCCTCCCATACCTCCCCACCCCCACTATGAATCAGCCTTCTTATATCAGAGAAAACATTCGGCATTTGGTTTTTTGGGATTGGCTAACTTTACTTAGCATTATCTTCTCCAGTTCCATACATTTAGCTGCAAATTCCATGATTTTGATCCCTTTCATTGCTGAGTAATATTCCATTGTGTATATATGCCACTTTTTTTTTTTAAATTCATTCACCTAAAGGGCATCTAAGTTGGTTCCACAGTTTAGCTATTGTGAAATGTGCTGCTATAAACATTGATGTGGCTGTGTCCCTGTAGTATGCTGTTTTTAAGTCCTTTGGGTATGGACTGAGGAGTGGGATAGCTGGGTTAAATTGTGGTTCCATTCCCAGTTTTTAAAGGAAACTCCATACTGATTTCCAGATTGGTTGCGCCATTTTGCAGTCCCACCAGCAATGTATGAGTGTGCCTTTTTCCCCACATCCTCACCAACACTTATTGTTGTTTGTATTCTTAATAGCTGCCCTCTTGACTGGAGTGAGATAAAAACTTAGAGTAGTTTTTATTTGCATTTCTCTATTTGCTAGAAATGTTGAATGTTTTTTCATATATTTGTTGATTGACTGCATATCATCTTCTGAGAAGTGTCTATTCAGTTCCTTGGCTCACTTATCGGTTGGGTTATTTGTTTTTTTGGTGTTTAGTTTTTTGAGTTCTTTATATACCCTCTATCTGATGTGCAAGTGGTAAAAATTTGGTCCCAAGTTGTAGGCCCTCTATTCACCTCACTGATTGTTTCTTTTGCTGAGAAGAAGCATTTTAGTTTGAATCCATCCCATTTATTATTTTTTTATTTTAATTCTTGTGCTATAGGAGTCTTATTAAGGAAGTAGGGGCCTAATTCAACATGATGGAGATTTGGGTCTACTTTTTCTTCTATTAGATGCAGAGTCTCTGGTTTAATTCCTAGGACCTTGATCCACTTTGAGTTGAGTTTTATGCATGGTGAGAAGGATTTAATTTCATTTTGTTGCCTATGGATTTTCAGTTTTCCCAGCACCATTTGTTGATGAGATTATCTTTTCTCCAATGTATGTTTTTGGCACCTTTGTCTTATATAAGATAACTGTAATTATGTGGGTTAGTCTCTGTGTCCTCTATTCTGTACCACTGGTCTACCAGACTATTTTGGTGCCAGTTCCATGCTGTTTTTGTTACTATTGCTCTGTAGTAATAAGTTTAAGTTCAAGTTCTGTTATTGTTATGCCACCTGCTTCACTCTTCTTGCTAAGGATTATTTTAGTATTCTGGGTCTCTTATTTTTCTGGATGAATTTTATGACAGCTTTTCTATTTCTATGAGGAATGTCATTGGGTGTTTGATTGAAATTGCATTAAATCTGTATAGTGCTTTTGGTAGTATGGTCATTTTGACAATATTAATTCTGCCTATCCAAGAGCAAGGGAGATCTTTCCATCTTCTAAGGTCTTCTTTAATTTCTTTCTTTAGCGTTCTGTAGTTTTCATAGAGAAGCTGCCAGGTGTCCTGTGTGGGAGTGGCATCAGTGATTTCTGCTTGGGTGGGTGGTCGAAAGTTCTGCGCAGGGGTTGATGGTCCCGCTCGGGCACCTGGTAGTCCTGCGTGGGAAAGTAGTTGGGAGACCTACTCTGACACTGTGGCCTGGAGCCCTGGATGGGTATGGTGCTTCCTGTGTGGGAGCAGGAATATCGCTCACAGAATATCGCTCACAGAATACTACTCTTACAGTTTCTGATGGTGGACAAAGAACTGGGGCTGAGGAGTAGGATGATATGCTGAAGAAAGTAGGGTGAGGATATAGAGTTGTTATATCTTAGAAAGTGTAAAGAGAAATCGAAAGAGGAAGGTTAGTGGCAGGAGAGGGGAGAGGAAGTAATTTTGGTTAGACAAGTAAGTGGGAAGACAGTAGAGGACATAAAACAAACACACGTATATATTAAGAAAAACATAAAAACTGTTAAAATAGTAGAAATTGGTGAGGAAAAAAGAGGAAAAAAATAAAAAGAATGTACAACATAGCTTTAATATAGTATTCAGACATCCCAATCCTCAAAATCCTAATTCATGCAAAGTACTTGGTTTCACATATATTGAGGATGTGAGGGCTGGAGAATAGAGAGCGAGAGGGGAAAAAAATCTTGAAGGAAGACACAGGGATTGTTTTGGTTGGAGATCCGTATCTTTC